ATACAGTCGCAAATAGAGAAATCGAATAACTCTGTTGAGATGATCTGGGGTGTAGTTAACAAACACAGGAAGAAAGTTCCCACTGTAAACGAGAATATATTTATCTTAAAGTATAATAACAAATATATCGAAAGTACTCAAAAAGTTGTGGATATCTTTGCGGAAAACTTTGATCATGGCCTATCACCTTCGACAGGTTTCATAGAACTATCAATGAAGTTTCTTGAGCATAAATTACAACCATGCATAAATTAGTTAGGATCACATAACACCTGCGGAAATATCTAAAGTTGTAAAAAGTATGGAAGACAAGAAGTCATGTGGTTAGGATGACATACCAATTTCAGTATTTAAGAAAAACATAGACTATTTAAAATCACCATTAGCGAGTTTTTGCAATAAATGTTATTAAAGGGCACTTTCCCTGAGGAATTTAAGATTGCAAAAGTATTACATGTACATAAGAAAGGTTGTGGCATTCTTTGGGGGAGGCCTATGTTCAGCAGTGGACTTGTGAAGGGGCTGTAATGATGAAGAAAGGTTCAAAATATGACTCTAAAAACTGTAGACCCTCTCGATTTTACAAAATATTTCAAAAATTTTTGAAAGACTGATTAAAGTTAGGTTAACTAACATCTACATAATAATAAAATAATAAATACACGACAATTTAGATATCAGCCAAAAATAGGAAGTAACGATGTGATAAATACATTAATTGATGATGTCATCACAAATTTAAATAATAAAAAGAAAGTAGCGGGATTATTTCTAGATTTAAGCTCTGCTTTTAATATGGTGGATAATAATATATTAATAAAAAAAACTTCAATACTACGGAATAAAGCATAAAGTACTATAGCTATTCAAGTCTATTTAGAAAACAGACAGCAATATCTTGAACTGAAGTGTATCGAGGATAAGTATGAAAAGACGTATAAATCTAAATTAGATAAAATTAATAGGGGAGTGCCACAAGGTTCCATTTTGGGACCAATTTTCTTCATCATATTTATAAATGATTAGATCCCCTTTATGTATAACTCTCTACCGGAAGTTCATATTGTAGCTTTTGCGGACGATAAAAATGCGGTAATATCGGCACAAAATACAAATGATCTCAACGAAAGATTAAATAGAGCTCTTTTAACGTTTTCTCAATGGTTTAATGCAAATAATCTTATGCTGAATGCAGAAAAAACTAAAGGTATACTATTTAAAACCACAGCGAAAACACGAGATACCTTGAACATCAGATTACATGAAAACTGCATACCACTTGTACAATCGGTGAAATTCTTAGGTGTTTATATAGACTCGTATTTAACATGAAAAGATGCATTACATAAATAATATAGAGAGCAAAATCAGCTCTGCATGCTATGTTTTGAGAAGCTTGAGGGAAGATCTAACCACGAAACAATTAAAAATTGTATATTATGCTTTAATTGAATCTCGCTTAAGATACAGTATTAAGTTTTGGGGAAATATATATGCCTATAATGTAAAAAAGCGTTTATTCTATAAGAAGAGCAATTAGAATAATATCTCGCATATACCAGAGGCAATCATATAGAAAACATTTTATAAATTTTAAAATCCTCGCTGTGCCCTGTTTGTTTTCTAACTTTACTCACTGATCTTGTCAAACATCCGAACAGATATGAAAGTGATGATGAAATGGCAAGGAGATATCACACGAGACGAAAGAATATAGCCAATGTCTTTAATACAAAACTACAGGTTGTTGAGCATAGCGTTAGAAATAAGCTGTAAAACTTTTTAATAGACTACATAATGCCCTAAAAACCATAAATAATGTTAAAATTTTTAAACAAAGGTTAAAATCTTTTTTATTGGAAAAATGTTTCTATTCAGTGAATGATTATATTGAGTTTGGTAAAAATTAATATTGCATGCATTATTTAATTAATAATTAAGTTGTAGACTAAAAATAAACACTTTTTATGTTAATTAATTACATTTAATATTTTATGTTACAATTAAGTTTTCCCACACAATGTATATTGTTTTTGAATAAATGACTATGACTATGACAAGCTGACCCATTCGTGCTACAACTATAAAATATCTGCAGCATGACTCTACCACGTATAAAAATATGTATTTGAAATATTGTGTTAAATGCTATTAATCTTTCGCTGGTGACTCATGCTTAGTTTAGAACTTTTGTCAGAGATTCATAGAAGATCTTTGATTTATTAAACTCTAAAGATAAGTATTAGTAAACAAATTATAAGATCGATTTAACTAAGCTGTGGTGAAAATTCGTCTTCACTGCGTTAATATTTTAAAAACAGTATCTTACACGGTGTGAACAATTTATGAGAATATCTTCTTACAAAGAATAAAAGAGTAAATTTCGCAGTTTGTAAGTACGATAACCTATCAGAAGTTCACTGCTGAACATGGACCTGAATACATTGCCTCATATGTGGCAAATATTCCCCATATTTTCCATAGTTGCCACACTTTTCAAGCGGGTTGGCTACCGCAGCTTTTTATTTAGCTATTATCAGGACGATGCTGCTGCGTATTTCCTGGTTCAGTTTCCCTCCTCTTACTTCACCTACGGGTGAATATGAGGTTTTTTTTTATAGGACAAGGGCGACAAACAAGCACACTGTCCACCTGATGGTAAGTGGTTGCTGCGGCCCACAGACATCTACATCTATCCCCGTTTGCGAATCAAAATGCAGATCCGTTGCCAGCCGTGAGGAACAAGATGGAATGCCTCGTTTCCAGTAAAAAGGGTCTCCGGTTCTCTACACTCACCATACGAAACACAGCAGTGTTAAACTGCTATTTTACGCTGGTATTCTGTGAGAGCGGGGTCCTTCCCCGGTCGACCTGACCCATACGTGCTACAACTATACTACTATTATAGCTGCAACATGGCTCTACCACGTAAAATATACTCATAAGTAATTATTGTATTGATTGGCTAGTAGTTAGCCATGAATTCATTTAAATTAAATGCTCTATACATACTTGTTTTAGACTACTTAACCCAAAGTAAGAAAATATTTTTCTAACAGTACAACTCTCATAGAGGTAATGAAGTGTAGTGAACCACCATGAATATTAATTATTTTTACATAAATATACATACGTAAGCTCTCACGCCTGTCATCCAAAGGGGTAGGTAAATACTAAGGGCTTCCATTAGACCCGGACCAGACACACACCTCTCACTTATTTTATTTCTTATATATATCTACGCATAGTATTCACCGTGTAGTGTTGGTGTAAGAATATCCACTAAGCCATATTGTCCTGTGGGCGTCATAAGAGGAGATAAAGGGAAACTGGAACAGGAGATGAGCGGCAGCAAATTATTGTAAACCGTTGTCGTTGTCACCCGTGAGGACTAAGATGGAATGCCTCTTCTCCAGTAAAAAGGGTCTCCGGTTCTCTACACTCACTATACGAAACACAGCAGTTTTAAGCTGCTATTTTACGCTGGTATTCTGTGAGAGCGTGGTCCTTCCCCGGTCGAGCCGACCCATTCATGCTACAACTATACTACTAATATAGCTGTAGCATGGCTCTACCACGTAATAATTTTTTTTTGCTTTTGTTTTATTCTCATCCTTTTTCATTGTGAGAGCCGTGGTAGATCAGATGGTTAGCGCTTGCTGTAGGCTTCACAGTGCTCGACCAACCCTGGTTCGATCCCCGCAGGCACCAATGAAATTGTTAATTGCAGTTTTAAGTGCTGATTTACCATTTGCTCGGCGGTGAAGGAAAACATCGTGAAGAAACCTGCATGTCTGAGAAATAAGAAGAAAAAATATTTCGAAGATATGTGAAGTTTGGCAACAGGCATTGGGGCAGCGCGGCGGACATTTACTTGCCCTAAAAGCCTCTCAGAAATGAGAGGAGGCCTGTGCCCGGCAGTGGGACGTAAATAGGCTGCAACTTTACTTTTACTTTACTTCTTCATTGTATACACCTAAATGTATGGTAGTAAAATTCTTTTACTACTTATTATTATTTTCAAAAACATTTCATACTTTTACTAACAAACTCTTAATTAACGATAACATATGACTTTTTAGAATAATCATTGTATGTTAACTGAAAGTGTTCACATTTTGGTTTGAAAGTCTCGTGAAATTGTATGGCTGACAATGATAAAGTTAAGCCTAAACAAGCTTAAAGATTACCACACATTAATAAACAGGATTGTGTAAAAATTTCACTGAACTGTTTTTCCCCATTATTCTATAAAATAAAACCACGCTACGGCTGTTGAATTCATTATGTAGATGGAAAGATAAATATAATAATAATGTCTCTCAGACCGAATCACGGTCACAGTGGCCAGTCTCAACAGAGACAAGCCATCTGCGCTGGACAGGATTATAGTGCACCAGTGTCTTGAGTTGAGGTGCGGGGATAATTAATGATACGACAGCTTTGAGTGACGGCCTGTTTATTACTGCACTCAACTTACATTCGATATTGATTTATATTAACCGTCTTACTCCACTACACCTACGGGGCTAAAATAAAAAAAATACAATCGAAGATTTTTTTTTTTTAGTTGATATGGGAACTTAAACTTATACTCATTAAATTCATAGTACTCTCCACATTATTCAGTTTCATTATAAAACGAAAAACACACCTTTATTACATAACATTAGTCTATTAGTAATTTAGCAATTACATCGAAGTGTAGTTAATTTTATTAATTAAAAATATATTACTTATTAAAATACAAATATTTTAATCATTAAAATTAGTTTGATGGTACAAAACGTTTTGTCCTATTCTTATGCACAATGTCTAGTTTAGAGTTTCTTAATACTATTACATTAGGTTCCTTATCTTCTAATACTTCAAATGGACCGTCGTATAACTTATCTAACTTACTACAATTTTCGTTTTAATAAGTATTAAATCACCTTTTTGGTAATTTACTGAGTTCACTTTTTGTCATACACATGTTTTCTAAGTTCTTTAGTATTTAACTAGTTTTCACGTGTATCATTTTGTGCAACGTGTAATCGATACTTTAATTCCAAGTTATAGTCATCAGGATTATACAATGGTTTTATACAACTACTTATTCTACAAGGAAGTTCACTTGGTTTACCAAAGACAAGTTCGTAAGGCGTATATTTCGTTGAAGAATGCACCGTATTATTATAAGTAAAACACCAATATGGAATCCAGTAACTCCATGTGTCAGGATATTTATCACACACAATTCGCAAAAATGATCCTAGATGCTTGTGAGAATTTTCAAGGGCACCAATAGACTCGTGATGATATGCTGTAGAGTTTATTTTTTCAATTTGCAATAACTTACATATTTCAGTCATAGTTGAGGATATGAATTCACTACCCCTATCTGTCGCTATTATTTTAGGTACACCAAATCTTAAAATAAAATTATTAACAAATGTTCTAGCAATAGTTACAGTTTCTTTATTTTTGAGTGGATATGCTTCTATAAATTTAGATAATTCGCACTGAATGGTTAAAAGATATTTGTTATCGTCTATATCACGATCTAAGGGTCCTACCACATCTAGGAACACTTTTTCGAAAGCTGAATGAGCCGTAGTTGTTATCACCAAAGGCTCTATGACATGCCGTGAGTGTTTCATTTTTTGACACTTTTCACACTTACCAATAAATTCCTTTACATCTTTCTCTATCCCTGGCCAATAATAAAGTCGCCTTATATTATTTATAGTTCTTTTTTTCCATAGCATAATGTCGTATGGTATTTTGCTATGGGGACACGCAGCTGACACTGAAATTATATTTGTTTTACAGAAGAGGGCCATAAGAGCAATTTATGATTTAAAGCCTAAAGAGTCGCTGCGACAAAAATTTAAGGAAATTAATGTATTAACTTTGACCTCTCAATACATTTATGAAAATGTAATGTACGTACACAAAAATAAAAGTAGTTTTACAAAAATAAGTGATATTCATTCTGTAAATACTAGGAACAGACACAAGCTAGTAGTACCAGTTACTCGACTCCATCGAGTCAGTAATTCATTCTTGGGGTGATGTATACGCTTTTACAACAAAATTCCAGAAAATATACAAAGTTTGCTGCTCCTGCTCCTGTTCAAAGTTCAAAAACTTTATTAAACTAAGTTTGTATAAAAAGGGTTATTATAATATTAAGGAATTTATGGATGATAATAACCCCTGGAAATGAGGTGATCGCTACCAAGCTATTTCTAATTTGTTGTGTTGTTAATTTGTGTAACATCATGATTGTAAGCTGTTATTTAAAAAAAGTCCCGCTGGGTTTCTTGCTGGTTCTTCCCAGGACAGAGGTTTTTTCCGAACCAGTGGTAATCAAACAAAAGAGTGACTTTCAATAAGTATTATTTATAATCTATATTGAATAAAAAAGTTTCTGTTTCTGTTTCTGTTTTCGTTTCTTTTAATACGAGCATGTCCACTAGTGGGCAACAAATGGAAATCATTTATAATAAATGATTTCTGGGTTTCGTCATATATTCTTTTAATACCTCTCAAAATACATATTTGTGGGCCGGCCCAATCTTTACTTTTCTTTACTTCTTTTATTAAGCTTGTCAAAAATAACGCGTTATCCTCCGTTTTTATTATGCATATTTCTTTCACATTAATCTTTTTACAAAACTCGCTCAATTTAGCTATAAATTCGGCTCGTGTAAAATGTAAGCTAAAATCACGGTTAATGTAAATTATTTGTCTCCCTTGTGCATAGCTAAAGCATTTTGACTCTAAATCAATCTCATTTTTATTTTTTAAGTCATTTACTATATTTCCTTTTACTAATTTCATCTCACAAGAATTATTTGGTATTCGTAATAACTCCACGACTCTCGGTTGATCAGGCCAATTGTCTGTGGGTTTATTAGGAATATTATTTTCTCTATTATTTGTCTTATTGTTATTTTCCATTTGTCTCCTCTGGTTTCTAGTCATGCCACCGTACTACTCTCATTCATTGCTTTTAATTCATCAGATTTTATGTTAATTCTTGATAAAGCCTCAGCTATCACATTATCTTTTCCCTTATCATATACGATATTAAAATCATATTGTTCTAATTCTAAGCGAAATTTTAATAACCTACTGGAAGGGTCATTCATCCCGAAAAGATATATTAAAGGTTTGTGTTCTGTCATAATAGTGAATTTACGCCCAAACAGATAAGGTTTAAAATATTTAATACCCCAAACAACAGCGACCAATTCGTTTTCAATTGTAGGATAGTTTTTTTCCGCCTTGTTTAATGGTCTACTTGCATATGCAATGGGTCTTAAATCTTTATTGCATAAAACCGCCCCAACTGCGAAACCTGAGGCATCTGTTTGCAAAATAAATTCGTTGCTGTTCGAAAAGTCCGGGTATTGTAATATAGGTGCTGATGTTAGAGCTTGTTTTAAAATTTGAAAAGAATCTTCGCAATTTTGTGACCATTCGAAGGTTACGCCTTTACGGCAAAGTTGATTCAAAGGTAGAGTTATTTCGGCAAAATTATGTATAAAATTCCTATAATAATTACAAAATGCGACGAAGCGTCTGACTTCGTCAGAATTGGTGGGTGGGTGTTGGGTATTCCTGAACTACTTTAATTTTTTCCGGGTCAAGCGAAATTCCATTTGCAGATATAGTTCATTTCAAATAGGATGGCAGGATTCCACTTGAGACTTAGCAATTACAGCTGTAATGTTAATCTATTGTTGTGTGATTATTTTATTGCTTTAACACTTGAAGTTAAGCATCTGTTGATAATAATGAACCAGTATAGCTGGAATGACGAATTTTGGTACTTGAACATTAAAACAAATTAAATTGTAGATAAAAAACCTTTATTACTTTTAACTTAACTATTTGAAATACTTATAACAACTTGTTAATATTTTGTTTAATCAATCACTCTGAAGAACATTCATCGGTATCTGTGTCCTCACACGTATTTATTATAAATGGTTGTATCCGATCCCTCGAAAATTCGTTTTCCACTCTTATGACATGGTCACAAACATTCTTCCAAAAAGTTTTTTTAAAGATTTTTTATCTACAATTTAATTTGTTTTAATGTTCAAGTACCAAAATTCGTCATTCCAGCTATACTGGTTCAGTATTATCAACAGATGCTTAACTTCAAGTGTTAAAGCAATAAAATAATCACACAACAATAGATTAACATTACAGCTGTATAATCACATTATAATAATCACATTATAACTTTTACAAGTTTTATGATTTATAAATCCGTTCAAAATAGCTTGACGTCCCCTCGACAATTTGCGTCGATCCACATTTTTTTTCCTTTCGGGGCATTTAGGAAACCTATAACATATAGGTACCACAATGATACGTCACTATTTTTATAAAATAATACTTCGATAAAAATTATTAAACGATGACCAAACAAATATCGACTTAAAAATCACAACACTATCGATACACGTGCTGTTGTTAGACAAAGACAACTATTGTAATTTACGTAACGAGTGAAAGGGACATTTCAAAAAGACATCAACGGGTGCTTAATTTTATCACTTTGCACCATTAATATATCAGTATAAGTTGATCTCCGGTGCATTTGAAATAGGTTAACGTGATAAGAATAGAATTTACTTACCAATTAAAATTTATGCCATCTTTTTGATAACTGGATGTCTTAGCTGACTTGTCACACCATTTTAATGCACAGGAAGCCATTTGTAATGTATTTTAGATACAAAACTATTTTTAAATTATCAAGAACTCGGACGTGCCTACGGATCACAAACTTGGTCGATACTGATGTCGTGATTCTTAGCTTCACTTCGTATGCTAGCTACAGCAAGTATGTGTTGTGCGCGTTTGTGGCCCTGTATGCGGAATCTATTAGGAGGTAATCTATGTCTCAAACGCATCCTCTGGAATACGTCAGCACGTATCTCTCTTTGAATTAAGTTTTTATGGTATCTTCTGTATTGCCGATAAGCTAGGTAGCCAAACGCTGCAACTAGTATTGCCAGCACTGTCGACAGCAATATGTTGTTAATCCAGGTGTGCTGGGCAGCCTCTGCACTATTGGTTCCCACGACACTTTGCGCGATAAGAATGTGTGGGCTCGGATTTTGATTGAGATTTGCCCATTTTCGTAAACTTTACTTGCACTGTTATTCTCCAAGATAAAATATAAAAGAATTCCGTCGTACTTGTACGCACCGCCGTTGGTAAAAAGACGCCGTTCCAGTGACGCCATGGCTAAAGTCCAGTTTGTAAAATGTGCAAGCGCTGCGAATTGTGTCACGTACGCCACCGCGGACCCGAGAAGCCCGTGCATGGCAGGGTCACCATGAGGTGAGGTGCGGGGATAATCAATGATACGACAGCTTTGAGTGACGGCCTGTTTATTACTGCACTCAACTTACATTCGATATTGATTTATATTAACCGTCTTACTTCACTACAGTCTGCGCAAGCACAGATTTTTTAGAGGTTTCTCATTTTCTATTTCATCACTCTGATAGTCCGATGAAACGTCAATCCGACACGACCAACGAGGAATCAGGTGAAGGACTTACGACTTTCCTTTTTTCCGAGGTACGGGGATAAAAACCCCGGACTGCTGAGACTGCAGACTAAAAATTTGATAACAGAACAACCAATAACTAACTTTTTTAACATTTTTATTCAATATAGATTACAAGAATACTTAATGAAAGTGTTTACAGATTCGAACCCAGTTTCACATGATCATCGCTTCGCAAGTACTCAATTTGGAACAGCAATAAATTATGAAGTTTTACAGCCAGCAATTTCTTATGTATTATTGTTTTTTTTTAAACATTATTCACAGTACTATTTTAATATCTTTCATAGAGACCAAAATAGTGCCAAGCGAACAAAAAAGATCAAACAAATTATACGCCGTGAGCTGGAAGCAGCCTATTCACATGAGAGCACTAATACGATTGGACCGCGACGTCTTAATTATTCCCACTTCACTTACAATCATATTATATACTATAAGTATTGATTATACCAATATTATAAAATGTTATGACAGATAATAATGAGAAGATAATTTCATTAACACAACCGTATTGTATATAATCTTTAGATATTTCTGTTTTTGTACCGACAAATTATAAGTAATGTTTCATTCAACTTCAATAAATGTATTATTATTCCTAATTTAACAATATACGAGTATATAACTCTTCCATATTTAAAACGATACTTCCACGATAGTTTCTTCCATGGCAACAATGCGCCGGGTACCAGTTAGTATTCTATAAATATCTTTAAAAGTACAATCGACATTAGCATTAATATTTATTAGTAGGCTCTCTATAAGCAACTTAAAGTTATAACGGGATGAACCCAATATCTCGTTAAATGAAGTAATTCTCCGCAGGACTTATACAAGATTAAATGTTGCAAAATATGTTCAACTAAGACAAATCGGATTTAGCTATTACTTATAAAGAAAAATCTTCTAAGCAAAAAACAAGTACGAGTTGATTCTATTAAGTATGAGTTTATTAATAATGGTTACCCATATAAGTTCAAAAGGGTAGATAGTAAATCAATACGATTTTTGCTATCAAAAGAACATAGATTTCTTTATGTGGTAGAGCTTTGCTGC